TCGGGACTGACCTGAAATGAAGCGAATACTCATTGCTGATCACTTGATTATTTGGGCATAATTCATGTTCCAAATGGAATACGTGGTGTAAACTAGAAGTGGCGGTTTGATGTGGGATCGGTAAATGTGTATCCTACTTTTTTTAGGGTATGATGTGATTGCTCAAGCTCAGTCAGGTACTGGCAAGACAGCCACATTTGCTATTTCCATCCTGCAACAGTTGGAGATTGAGTTCAAGGAGACCCAAGCACTAGTATTGGCCCCCACCAGAGAACTGGCTCAACAGGTATTGATAGTGTAGTTCAAAATGCTTGCGTGTTGTACAGGTTTCAGGTTTCACAATTGTGAAGAATTTAAAGCTTAGTATAAATTTGTCCTACAGAGCCCTCCTTTTAACTGTCCGTGCATGCAGGGAGTTTCTGTTGAAAGCTTAAACAGTCAAACGGGAACTGGGTGTACAGGTATGGTTTGCAGGGCTGTGTAACAGATTGAGAAACAAGTTTTTGTTCAGGGTGGACTAGACCTGTTCTCATTTTCAAGTTTGAATGCAGTTGTGCAACATGAAAACTGCAGTGACATGTTACTTGATTGTCTTAGTAGTTTGTGATGTATCTGTTGCATGCTGTGTTTTCAGAGCTCACTGCCATAATGGTTTGAAGTAAAACCTTGCTAATCTGTAGGATTTATTAAAGCCAAGATTACGTCGCAGTGCTGTGGGAAAAATTATTGTTTTACCGTGGTTTACACTTTAATACACAATGAAGAATAATAGTAGGAAATGTTTTTAGTTATGTAGCTGGCACTTGGGGCTACAGGATCTCAAGTTTGACAAGGCACAAGATGTTTTCAGGGAAGTTTATCTTGAGGCATTTAGATTGGTCTGCATTTTAAGCTCGGAAGTAGTTAAGTGCTCTGCATGCATTAAAGCTGTTTGCAGACCAGATATTTGCCATTATGCTTTGGAAGTTAAGTCACAGAATCAGTAATTCTGCTGGATAATAATCAGGCTTTTGGCTTTCAGATCCAAAAGGTAATTCTGGCACTTGGAGACTATATGGGAGCAACTTGTCATGCCTGCATTGGTGGAACCAATGTTCGAAATGAAATGCAAAAACTTCAGGCTGAAGCACCACATATTGTTGTTGGTACACCAGGGAGAGTGTTTGATATGTTAAACAGAAGATACCTTTGTAAGTATTGCTGTCGAGTATAGTTTGGTTTTACTATTATAAATAAAGTAAATAGCATGCCTGAAAACCTAGAGATGATAGTATGACTTTATTTTAAACAGCTCCAAAATGGATCAAAATGTTTGTTTTGGATGAAGCAGATGAAATGCTGAGCCGAGGGTTTAAGGATCAAATCTATGAGATTTTCCAAAAATTAAATACAAGTATTCAGGTGAGCTTTATTTCACTCCCGCTCTTAAAATAGCTGGAGGTTAGGTTTAATGCAGGTGTTATTACAACATAACTGAAGTGTTCTGTTGTCGTTCCCCCTGAAAGCAAAAGCAAAAGCAACTAATGCATAACTCTGTCACAATTCCATGCTCAGACAGAGACGCTTGGTCTCAAAGATTTTTTTCCCTCCAGTATTGTGCCAAGTTGTGCTAACTACTTGTGTGACAGCATAATGAATTTTTCTTTAAGGTGGTGTTGCTTTCTGCCACAATGCCAACGGATGTGTTGGAAGTGACCAAAAAATTCATGAGAGATCCCATTCGAATTCTGGTGAAAAAGGAAGAATTGACCCTTGAAGGAATTAAACAGTTTTATATTAATGTTGAAAGAGAGGTAATTTGTTTAATTGTCAAACATAAAAATGTAGCCAGGTTTTTTTTACCTTCTTGAATAAGCACTGTGCTAAAATTACAGAAACTAGGATCACATCTTGGTTTTTGTAATAATGCTAGCAGAGTACACACAAGAAGAAGAGTAACTGCACTAGGTTGTAAAAGACTGGGGTGGACCTCTTTCTTAATGTCCAATGTCCTTTGTCTTAAGATTTGGTGCAATATGTCCTTAGACCAATCTAATAATGTTTCTAATGAATGTAAGTTGGAAACAATCATGTTAATTACTGTTAACTTTCTCTTTGAACTACTGTAGGAATGGAAGTTGGATACACTTTGTGACTTGTACGAGACACTGACGATTACACAGGCTGTTATTTTTCTCAATACAAGGCGTAAGGTGGACTGGCTCACTGAGAAAATGCATGCCAGGGATTTCACAGTTTCTGCTCTGGTAAGAGGTATTCTAACCTAGTAATGGTAACTGAAGTCTCCCTTCATTAAAGCAGGATTTAGACTACAATATAGCTGCTAAGTGCTGTGTTGTCGTTCCCCCTGCTCAAAATAAAGTTGTTTCTTAACTATACCTGTCTGCTGTACCCCTGTAGCAGCCAGGGACGCTTGGTCTCATACATGTTGATAAGATTAAATGTTGATTTGATTGGTGATTCTTGAATTAATAGGTTTGTTCCTTTGCAGCATGGTGACATGGACCAGAAGGAAAGAGATGTTATCATGAGGGAATTCCGATCAGGGTCAAGCCGTGTTCTGATCACTACTGACTTGTTGGTAAGTCTTCTACTGCTCTTTTTAATTCACCAAAAGTTCATGTGGGGGGAAGGTTTTATAATAACCTTTACCAATTTTGGGCTATTTGGGAGAATAAAGAAAAGACCACACTCCACAGTGAGCTATACCATTTAGTATAGTTCATTACTATTTTGTGGCCTACATGACATGGGTGTCTAGTTTTTCAATTAGAATTTGAACGTCATTGTATTTCAGGCTCGTGGGATTGATGTGCAACAAGTGTCATTGGTTATAAACTATGATCTACCTACCAATCGTGAAAACTATATTCACAGGTAAGTAGATGGCATCTTGACTTTACTGTACTGGTAAAATTGATGTTTTGCTTTTCTCTACTGACTGATTTGTCTGAAAGGTAACCTCAAATCAGGGATTTGAGTAATATGACATAGTAACTTGGTAGGGTGTAATTAAAATTGTACTTGGGAAGATTGGTCATACACAGTGGGAAAACAGTTGTGAATGTTGCCCAAATTGTGGACTCTATACATACAGATAAGGTTGTTTTAGATCGGTTGGTCTTAGCTTATTTTTGAGCTGTATTTTTTAGTGATGCTTGTGTCCGTGTCCATGTGCTTTCTTGGTGATTCTTCTATAGTTGGGATTTTCTTGGTGTCATCTGGTAGCAATTTGAGCAGTCCCTGGTTTAGTTATAGTGGCTTTATCCCTAAATAAATTGAATTGTACTTTGTTATATGATGTAAAAAAAGACTTTTTAAAAAATACAGGGGTCGATAGCAGCAGTTGATGACGAGATGGCGCTCAGAAACGGCGTTGACGTAATTTAGGACGTGGAATCATAAGCGAAACAGCACACTGTTTGAATAAAGAGCGAGTCGGTATTTATATTTGTTTTTCTTTTGTCATGATTATTTGATATTTTAAGATGCTCCAGCCAAGGCATTTTGTATACTAGCCTATTAGGTGGTTTGTATTGTCTGGTTTCTATCAGGAAGGTTAGAAAGCTGTTTTTGGAGGTAAACACGTTTGAGTAATTTCAGTTATAACGTGTGAAACTGAGCAAAAAAGCAGTGATAAGTTTGGGTCACCATACCAAATATTTGTTTTCCCACTGGAAAAAGTTGTAAGTTTTAGACAATAGTTAACCTTGCAGCATTTGTATTTGCAGTTTACAGTTCCAGAAGTGCGTCGAAATGGATTACATAACTGTTCTTTTTGTTTTATCCCTGGTGTTTTACATCTGTCCCAGGCTGACATCTGCTCTTGGCTGGCCCACTTTGGTATGGGCTTTAAATTCACTACCCCAAACACAATACTGTCATCTGCTTTAAAAAATAATAATAATAATGCTCAAAATACTTGATAAAATCTCATTTTGCAGCCAGACAAGCCTTGAATCCTTTTGGCACTAACTGCAAAGGAAGATTTTTTTCTCTAGATATTGATTAGCAGCTAGTGCTCCAATTAGAAGCACGAACTATAACCTTGATAAGTAAACAGCAGCTGCTGGTTAACAAGTGGATCATCATATTCAGTAGTTCATGCAGCATGTGAAGTAGTATATTCTAATTGCTGATTTCCTTTTCTTACACAGAATTGGCAGAGGGGGTCGATTTGGGAGGAAAGGTGTGGCTATAAACTTTGTTACTGAAGAAGACAAGAGGATTCTTCGTGACATTGAGACTTTCTACAATACTACAGTGGAGGAAATGCCAATGAATGTGGCTGACCTTATTTAATTCCTGGGATGAGATAGTTTGGAATGCAGTGCTCGCTGTTGCTGAATAGGCGATCACAACGTGCATTGTGCTTCTTTCTTTGGGAATATTTGAATCTTGTCTCAATGCTCATAACGGATCAGAAATACAGATTTTGATAGCAAAGCGACATTAGTCGTGAGCTCTTGTGAGGAAAGTCGTTGGCTTTATCCTCTTTAGAGTTAGACTGTTGGGGTGGGTATAAAAGATGGGGTCTGTAAAATCTTTCTTTCTTAGAAATTTATTTCCTAGTTCTGTAGAAATGGTTGTATTAGATGTTCTCTATCATTTAATAATATACTTGTGGACTAAAAGATATAAGTGCTGTATAAAATCAGCCAATTATGTTAAACTAGCATATCTACCTTTATTGTGTTCGTCATTAGCCTGAATAGAAAGGCCTTTAAAATTGATTTTTTTAAGAAAGCATTTGAATGCATTTTGTTTGGTATTATATTTATTCAATAAAGTATTTAATTAGTGCTAAGTGTGAACTGGACCCTGTTGCTAAGCCCCAGCAAGCAATCATCCTAGATAGGGTTAAACGTTTACCCCAGTAAAATTGCCATATTGCACATGTCTTAATGAAGTTTGAATGTTAAATAAATTGTATATTCACTTTAAAGGTGCTTTAGTCATTTTATTTTAAATTGTTCACAAAAATACATGCTGAATATGTTTTAACAATTCTGAGTTAACTGCTGCATGACAGTTGCGCAGAGGCTGATCAGCTGTAGATGTTCATCAGCGCCATCTGCTAAACATTTATCAACTTCCTACAAGAAAATGAAAGATTAGTAAGCAATTTCCCTTTCAGGTGTGTATGCTGTGCTGAAATGTAGAAGATGCCTACTTACAGCAAGCTTTTCTGTAATAACAGATTTCTGTTTATCAGAAAGGGTATCATTTTCTACAACCCCATCATGAAGCTGATTTACAAGCTGAGTTGCTGCATGACCCTCGTCTATTAAGTCCTGTAGCAGAAAAGAAAATGATTTTGGTATGATTTCCATCCCTGCCCCCCAGGTTAGTAAAGTGTCTTTACCTTTACCACAGTTTCGAGTTTGTCAAAAGAGCCACTCTGACATGCAGCAAATACTCCATCAATTGTTTCAGCTGGTATTACCTAAAATAATTAAAGAATCAAAAATAAAGTTTCTGGGTGAAGACTTGTTTCTCTGCCAAGCCTGTGCAAACTCCCTGGTGTTATATGCTACAGGACATGTGCCACTTCAAGCGTGGAACTTAATCCATACATACAGAGTTGGGAGGGCAAAGAACTGAAAAGAGGGTCAACTTTAACCCTTATGCTCATCTGGTCTCCAGATAGGTGATGGAGAAAGCTACTGGACCTGAAACAAACTCTGGAAACATCCTGTTTCTAAGATGCCACTAACAAAATGCAGAGTTGGGTTGGCTTATGTTTCATTACAATACAAAATGAAACCTGAAGACAAGGGTGTGGCACAAGAGAATTCCTTGAATGATTTAATTATAAGTTGGATATGACCCTTTTTCCTTTGTAAGAAAAGGGATATCTGTTAATATATCTGACATCTGTTAGATAGCTGTTATCTGCCACATCCCTGCCTGCTTGAAGCATTCTGCTAACTCCCAGAATGGTACAAATGTTTATATTCCCTCAAAATTCATGTTAAAAATCCCTAATGTATTTGGAGGTGGCACCTTTGGCAGGTGATAGGAGAGTGGAACCCTCATGAATGGGATTAGTGCCTTCTACAAAAGGCTCAGAAAGCTGCTTTTTGCCACAGGATGGTGCAGGGAGGTAAAGGCCATCCGTGAACTAGGAGTCTACTCAACTAGGAAGTGTGTCCTCAGGCACTGAATCTGGGCACCTTGATCTTGGATTCCCAGCCTCTGAAACTGATATTTTTGTTTATAAGCCACTCAGCCTATGGCATTTGTTACAGCAGCCTGAATGGGACTAAGCACATAATAAGCACTCCATACATATATGTGAATTAAGAGATTTCTAAAAGCCACAAAAAAGCAAACTAAAAATGTCAGAATATCCAGTGCTCTTACCCCAGCAATGTCTGTGATCACCTTTTCTGTGACCTTTCCACCTGTTAATCGAGTAGCACTTTGAAGAAATGTAATGGCTTTCCTTAAGTCTCCTTCTGACACTTTAACAAGATGAGCTAGTCCCTGAAGAGAAAAAAATTCTTTAACCTGTTATGGCCAATTAAGGAGGTATTGGGGAAAAACAATCTATTTCCGTTTTTGAGGGAAAGTCGGTTCTATAGTGGCAGAATTCATGGAGACAGCCCTGATTACATACAGCAAGGAGAATTCAAATTACAGTTAAGTTCTGTTATGAATAAGGGCCTATACATTCTATTACTGCCAGAATTTCATCATACCAAGTTAATCCTTGCAGTGGAGTATGGGTAATGACAAATGGGAGTACGCTGTCATGCAGAGATTGGCTGTCGCAGAATTTGCATCCTCACATGAAATCTGCCTCAGCTTTGGGTCTCAAGTACTGACAGATAAACTTCTAGTAGCAACAGAAAGGCTGAACCAGTAATTCCTAGACTGTTTATTTAGCTTAACTTTGCCTGAAGAATCGGCATCAGAAATTGAAGCAACACAAATTTGACTTTCAGGAAGGGCCTCTTCATAGGCATTCATCAAAGGAATTAGTAATTTACAATAGTAATAATAGTGATTACCTCATTGCTAATTTTGATATGTTCTTTATCAGCGATGTCTAGTAATCGCTGCTGTTGAATTTTATCTGACAGAGGTTTGAAGCGGAATTTAGAACATCTAGAGGTCAGAGGTTCAATTATTCTGTAAAATATTGGAAAAAACAAGTCAGTGTCTAAAGGAGAAACTCCCCAGAACTCATTTTTGTCAAGAACAAATCAAGATTTGATGAAGATAACTGATTCACTTTGTTATAAAGCAGAAACACACCATTGTAAAGCAATTTTATCCCAATAAAGATGTTAAAAAAAAAGATTTGATGGAGAAACTAATGTAGCCTTGAAACATTTAAATTTTTTCCCTCCCTATTTGAGGCTATCAAAATAAGGCTGCCTTGCATCCACCTTGAGGGCATTACACATACCGACTGACATAGTTACAGATGAGACAGAATCGGGTGGTTTTAGACTCTTTCTCCATGGTACGTCTTAAAGCTGCCTGAGCAGCTGAGGTCATAGAATCTGCTTCATCCAGGATCACAATTTTAAAAGGAGGACATGGCTTCCCGCTGATTCAGAGAAACACAAAGGAGTTATAATTCACACATCATTATCACAATCTAATTTTAGAACATTCTCATCACCCCAAAAGGAAACCCTGTGACCCTTAGGAGTCATTTTTTTCTCTCCCAACTGTCCCAGCCATAGACAATCAGGAATCTCTACTTTCTGTTTCCACAGATTTGTCTATTCTGGACACTTCATATAAATGGAACCACATGTTGTCAACTTAATACATTGTCTTTTGTGATTGGCTTCTTTCGCTTAATGTTTTCAAGGTTCATCCATGTTGTAGTATATCGTTACTTCATTTCTTTTTATTGTCAAATACTATGGCAAATGGATGGATATACTATGTTTCATTCATCCATTCTTTAGTTGATGGATACTGGGTTGCTTCCATGTTTTGATTACTATGAATAATGCTGATATGAACATTTGTGTACATGTGTATAGGTTTTCATTTCTTGTCAGTATATTCTAGGACTGGAATTGCTGGGTCATATGGTAACTCAGGGGAACTGCCAAACTGTTTTCAAGATGGCTACACCATTTTACATTCCAACCAGCAATGTATAAGGGTTCCAATTTCACCACATCCTTGCTAATACTTGTTATTTTCTGTCTTTGATTACAGCCATCCTAGTGGGTGTAAAGTGGTATTTCATCATGGGTTTGATTTGCATTTCTCTAATGGCTTATGATGTTGATGAGCATGTTTTGATATGCTTATTGACCATTTGTGTATTTTCCTTAGAGTAATGTCTATTCAGATCCTTTGCCCATTTTTAAATTGGGTTGTCTTTTTATTATTGAGTTGTAAGAGTTCTTTATTCTTGATCTAAGTGCCTTATCACGTGTGTGATTTATATACATTGTCAATCCAAGGTGGATATCAAAAACTGACTTATTCACTGTCTACAAATTCCTAAGTGTGCTCTGATATAAATTTAAATATATGCCAGGTACCAAAAATTTAACCTTGGAACTTTGCCACCTTAGGAGTATACACAGTTGCGTAAACACCCCTATTGAATTATTATTAGTAACAACTCCTTTTTCACTCAAAGTGTCCCAGTTTGGACAAGGTTTTACATTGTCACCAACTATGAAACATACACTGAAGCTTAAGATATATGATAGGACTTTTAAAAAATAACATAATAGCAAAAATTAGGATTTTTATTATGAGTGTACGACCAAACCATCACATTTGATTAATAAATACTCCTTAGACAAATATCGATTAAAAACCCTTGACAGCTAAACAACTTAAAATTATTTACTATAATGGAAAGGTTATTTCTGGGTTTAAATAATTTAGATAAAAATACAATCTAACATGAAAAAAGAAGTTGAAAATCTGGTAGAAACGTTTTTTAAACACAATGACATGGTATAGAGAAGGGAAGGTGAGCTTACTCTGAACGGCTTCCTGTCACAGTTAATTGGGCAAAATTCTTCACTTTCTCTCTAACTACTTGTATTCCACGTTCATCAGATGCGTTTAACTCAAGAACTCTTAATCGAAAAAGTTCAGGCCTATGTCAAAATGAAAAAAAATTATGAAACATCATAGAGCATATAAATAACCCAGGTTTAAACCATATTTTAACATTTGTACATTTTTCAGTAGTGTAAAATACACCTAGTAAACAATATGAATAGAAGGTATACAATTCATTCTGTATTTTCTCTTTTGCAAAGGCATACAGTTAACATTCTGGCTTTTTCCCCATGCGTCTAAAAAAATAGATATCACATAATGTACTAAATTTTAAATCAATTTTCCACTTTGGACTGTATCATAAGCATCTTGCCATGTCATGATAAACACTGTAAAAATCATTTTAATAGTTATATGACTTTCTAACCTAAGATTGTACCATCATTTAATTTACTTAACATCCTTCTGTTATTAGACATTTAGATAGTTTTAAATACGTTACAATTTTAAATAATGCTGCAGTGTAGCATATTTTGAATTATTTCCATAAAGTAGTTTCCTGTAAGGAAAATTACTGGGTCAAAAATGAACAGTTGGGCTTCCCTGGTGGCGCAGTGGTTGAGAGTCCGCGTGCAGGGGACGCGGGTTCGTGCCCCAGTCCGGGAGGATCCCACATGCCCCGGAGCGGCTGGGCCCATAAGCCATGGCTGCTGAGCCTGTGCGTCTGGAGCCTGTGCTCCGCAACGGGAGAGGCCACGACAGTGAGAGGCCCGCGTACCGCCAAAAAAAAAAAAAAAAAAAAAAATTTTTAAGTGAGTTTTTTTTTTTTAATTATTAAAAGTAACTGTAGGAAAATCTGAGAACTCAAAAGAAAATAAAAATACCTGGCACACACTGCCAAACCCTGTTTTGAAGACTTCCTTCTAGTTATTTTTCTATATATATGTGTATATTTTTTTAATAGAAAAAAAAGAGTTGGGATTTCGTCTTTATTTTTCCTGAGTAGCATGATATCCTACGCATTTTTCTATGGGCATAAACATCTAGAAAGCTCTGTGCATGTATTTTCTATTTTAAAACCACATATACTATTAAATGTGGAATTTATAGTTAAGTCCTTTTAGGTCTATCAAGACAAACATTTAAAAAAAATATTTTACAAGTTATATAGTTTGGACTAACCTACTGCAGAACAACCAATAATAAACTATACTTAACAGTTTCATGATGATACATCGCTAAGGATGATTCAGACTGCATCTAACTGATTGAGTTGTAGAATAATCAAAAAAGCTCTCAAAATTTCCTTGGGAAAATGAAAGTTGCTGTCAAATAAAATCCTCAGTTCAGAGCAGCTTCCCCTTTTGTCCTTCACATTTCAACAGAACTGATTATCCTTATATATTTGGTGATTTCAGAGGCATCTAATTATCTTCATGTGTAGGATTTCAGATGTACCCTTAGGCCATATGCCTGATATTAAAATTGTGGATTAATTAAAGATAGGCTTTGTTATGTTGGTGCATGTTGCATAGATATCAGACATGGCTGATACATGTCTTTTAACCTTAGGTAAAGGGCTCCTCTACTTCAACAGTTGGCTAAGCCGAGACAGTCAGTCTAGGACTGAATAAGAAGGTGGCTCATAGAGATTTTCTGCTGTACCTGGAATCATACTGCCTCAACTACCACACACTCTGCTTATACTCAGGATACTTGAGGGCAAGGAGCTGGCCCAGCCACTTGAGAGGCAGGCCCTGGCAAGTCCAGAGCAAGAAGGAACTCAAGAAGGGGTGGTGCGCATCAGTAGCATCAAATAGCAAATTCTATGACAGATGTGAACACGACCACTGTAAGTCATGAAACTATCAGCATGACTGGAGGTAGGGTCTTCTAGTTTCCAAAATCATAATGAAAGAGTTAAAGTGATGAAAAAAATCACAAGGCTCCTTGTAGTACACCCAAACATTTGAACAAGGTTCAGAATAAAGGTTACAAAAGATACAGGCAAGCTAATTTATTGGAGGGGAGGAACTGGAAATGGGCCAGCTGGATTATTAAATAATTCAGAACAAAAATAAACCCAACAACCTCACAGAAAAACCAAATGCAAAGTTTTAGAGAATGAAAAGCAGTACCAGAGATTCTTAGCATCAAGTCTTTAAAAAAGAGAGAGAGAGAGATTTCAACTTACCCAAAGAGTTCCCTAGCTGCTGCCAAAATAGTGGATGTTTTTCCAGTTCCAGGTGGGCCGTAAAACAAGAGATTAGGGAGCTGTAGAAGTTAAAGTTTACTTTTTTTTAAATTGTATTCTGGCACAAATAGGTGGAAGTGACTGAAAATGTCTATGGAACAGTGCAATGACTTCCCTAATAGGGCATATATATCTGAATACAAGGATTTCTTAATATAACTGGTATCATAGTAATAACAGTACTAAATCCTGCTTTTTCACACACACCATCATTTTTCCCTAAGAGATCTTTCTAATATCTTAAGCTGAATCAATATTTATGATTGTTCTACACCTGATCTAATACTTAGGTGGGATTTTCAAAGCTGGAATTAAAAACCTCTTATTCCTGAAGGGAATACTAGGCTTCTGTCAGTTCCCTATCCCACACCTAGGCTCAGGAATGGGCAAGATTTTATGTTTTATAAAGATGTCAGTTGCTTCAAAAGGAACACAGACCAAATTGGATTTGGCCAATACTGAGGAAAAAGGAATGAAAATGGCATACTGGGGCTTTGCATGAGCTAAAGTTCCAAGAACAGAAATATTAAAAAAACCAAGCATATTTTAAGTGCCAGGCCGTGGTCCACATCATGATTACATACCCTGCCTGTAGGGATACCCGCATGTATCAGGGAGATTTCATCAGTGGAAGACAGGATAAGATTAAATAACTAGTTATCTTTATACCTTAAGTCTAGCTGGCTTGGCGCCTATCAAATAGGCAACTGATCTGTAGTACAGATTAACAAATGTACTAAATTCTAATGAGCACTGTAATTAAACTGTACATTCTTTTTTCTTTTAATTTTATTTCATATTGGAGTACAGCTGATTTACAATGTTGTGTGTTTCAGGTGTACAGCAGAGTGATTCAGTTATACATATATCTATTCTTTTTCAAATTCTTTTCCCATTTAGGTTATTACAGAGTATTGAGCAGAATTCCCTATGCTATATAGCAGGTCCTTGTTGGTTATCTATTTTAAATATAGCAATGTGTACATGTCAACCCTAAACTCCCAATCTATCCCCCCACCAACGCTTCCCCCCTGGTAACCACTGTTTGTTCACTAATTCTGTTTCTGTTTTGTAAATAAGTTCATTTGTATCATTTTCTTTTAGATTCCGAATATAAGTGATATATATTTGTCTTTCTCCGTGAAACTATACATTTCTTTCATGTACGGAAATCACTGCACATAGGAAACTAAGCAGTATAGTTTATTTGCTTCCACTCTTGCCTAACCTTCCCCCTTCCCATCCACTCATTCTTCACCCAAATCAGATGCCACTGTGCTTGCTACTTAAAGCTATTCACTGTATTCATACTCCACTTAGAAAAACAAAACAGACAAAAAACATCACCCTGCTTACCATAACCTACAAGGATGTCCATGATCTGCTCACCACCTCTCTCACTTTCTAAGTTCCAACTTACAGTGGCCTCCAACAGCTAAGCACTTTCTGGCCTGCACGTATGCTGTCCCCCATGAGCTGGGGTCTGACTCCATTCTTCTGTCTGGCAACTCCTACTGCAGTACAAGTCAGAAGCCTTCACTGACCTCCCAATCGAAAGAGGGTCTCCTCTGTTATTCTCTCACTGGTCTTTGTTGCACTTGATGTAATTTGCAATTATTTATTGTTATTTATGTAACTGTTGGGTTTAATTGTAAAATACCCATTCACCTCACTATATGAGAAGCTTGAGAAGGTCAAGAACCTTATTTGTTCTATTCACATCTATATTCTCAGCATCTCCCACAGTACTCAGTATGCACCAAGTAAATAAACCAACATATAAATGTATTAGTTAAAAGACTATTACTGTTACACTGGTAAGCTTAAGATACAAACTATGAGATTCACTATTTAAGAACAAAAGCAAAAACAAAACCTCCTAGGCGTCTTCATTTTTAAGGTTGTAACTGTTATTTTGATCCAACTACCTCAGTAGTTGTAATGATTCATCCAGTCAACTATTACAATAATTTAAATTCTTTAAAACACGGTTAAATTACTAAACCCTACATTATGTAACAGTCTGATATATATATACATATATATATTCATTCAAGAACTGTACATGGACTAGCAGTTCTAAAAATTGATTTCTGAAAAATCTCTTATAATTCTACTGTAAAACCCTTTAATATAAATGAAGGAATGAATTTTTTCCTTTACTCTTTAGAGTTAAAAAAATTACTTCAACTTTAAGTTTCAAAAAACTTAAGTCTGAAAAGAAACAAATCATTAAACAAGTGGATAAAGAAGAAAGTTCTTAGTTCAGCCTCATAAATTAGATGGTATAAAGAACTGGATCATAATCCCACTATATTTGCCTAAAGAGTTGAGAATCCCAGCAATTAAAATACATCATGGGGTTTCCCTGCTGGCGCAGTGGTTGAGAGTCCGCCTGCCGATGCAGGGGACGCGGGTTCGTGCCCCGGTCCGGGAAGATCCCACATGCTGCAGAGCGGCTGGGCCTGTGAGCCGTGGCCGCTGAGCCTGCGTGTCTGGAGCCTGTGCTCTGCAACGGGAGAGGCCACAACAGTGAGAGGCACGCGGACCGCCAAAAAAAAAAAAAAAAAAAAATCACGTCCTGCAATCTGTGTAAATATTACCATGCAATTTAAATTGTATACTATTATAAAATTAAAAGCTAAAGATATTTGGATCAAATGAAAAAAAATACTGGTAAAGAAAAAGATTTTCAACCATTTTATAAATATAACTTCTTTCAAAATATATACTGTTGCAGTGTAATTCCAGGAAGAGACCAATGGCAAAAACCAAAGAATCTCTAATTCAAAGCAGCCAGGTTGAGAGGAGGGAAGAAAATCTTGGGAATAAAGTAAAAACCACATTTCACTTTCACCTGCAACTGTTTCCCTTCCTCCACTAAGTTCTTAAAATACTTTATCATATACAATTTTAAATTGCTAATTCTTCATATGGTTTGTCTCTGAATTAATCTAAAATGCAAGTCACTCAATGACATTTTATCCCACATATCACAGCAGGGGACATGATGCCATAAGCAGAACTAAAGACTCAATTTTTTTTGTATTGTAGTTCAAACCAAATCCTAAAATTAGGTGAGCAATCATACGGTCAAAGAATCTTTGACTCTCCCTTATAGTGCCTATATCATTATCTATAATTCTATAGTTTATTTTGCTTACATGTTTATTCTTCTGTGTCTCTCCCCACCAAAATAAAAGCTCACGAGCAAAGGGACCTAGCCTGTCTTGCTCAATGATCTCCACTTGAGTACCACATAACAATGACATAGAACAGAAAAGGAGATGCTCAACAAATATTTGTTGAACTAATCATCCATTGTACAAATAGTAATCAAGGGCCTACTGTATATACAGGATAGTATTTAAAGGGGGCCGGAGGCTATAGAGGAAGAGGGTGAATAAATTAAATCTCCCAATGACTTTAGACAGCATCTGCTACTCACATCAGCTCCTTCTAAAGACTTTTTTAGCACTGCAACCACTTCTTCCTGGAAAGCAACTTCATCCACATATTTTGGGCGACTGGAGAAAAAGAAAAGAGAGAGAAGTTATTCAGTGTATTATAGTAGCCACAGAATTCTCTCCTTTTGCTAAAATATCAATGATAACTCATATCAGTAATGAAATGAGAAACTTTCATAATTGGATGTGGAAACCCCATCTATATTTACTTTATGCAAATATATACTGAGGAATGAAGTAATTTTTCACTTTTCCAGATGCATTGCTTGTATCTGTTGTGCTTATAAAAACTATGCAAAAGGATTTTATAACATCACAAATGCCAACTGGTTCAAAATGTAAAATGAACATTTGCCTAGAAAGTAATATTATGTTTTGACAACGTGCCCCTAAACTGAAAAGGGAGACCTATTTGGCAACCTCAAGATAGGTAACAAAGTTACATATATGTTACTATGTTGTTAATGGGTTAATACCAATTTCTCCTATCACCTAACTGCACAAAAAATGCATAACTATTCATTTCATTGAGGGTTAACAAAATAACAACCTTAACCAATATGGAGTGTAATTTTTGTCTTACATTGTTACCTAATGATGTTAAACGAAGTTATACTCCCAACCCTAAGTCAGGCTCTGTGCTTAGCTAACTAAACAAAAGTTTTTCTTTGACTTATACTTTTCTAACTAATCAGGCCAACGCCAGGCAGATATTTTATGTCAGATAATGTTATCTTGCAAAACCAGTGTATATTATAAACCAGGGTTTCATATTCAAATACCTGCAGAGTCCAGGCAGATAACAAGAGTGAAGAATTCGAGTGTAAGACAAGAGATACTAGTAGGGACTATGGTGAAGTGAGGAACATATGACCTTTCCAAAATGAGTAGTACACACATCCATCTAAGTGTTTTCAGGTGAGAACTTGAATCTAGTGCTGCCTAGTCTCCTGAGTCTGAAAATCTAGATTTTTCCCCTTGTCTAATTTACTTAATGAAAAGTTTCTAGACTTTTATGTGAAATTTCCCATTTTTAAAAGCATTGTTGGTGCCAAACAAAATTTATGAGGGCCTTACTTGCCTTATAAGTAAACTGTAATCCTTTGGTAATAACTGAGGGTACACCAGGGGTTCTGACTACTTGTTAGCACCTAGCTGACTGAAATTTAAGAGCCACTTCAGGTGCTGTTTTTGCCAAAAATTTATAAACAAAAACTCAACAATTTTCAGCTATCAGTAATGAAAAGAGGAACAGATTATTTGGACTTAAGTCGAACTCCTAAGAGCTTACAGAAACTGTTTTCTTCACTGCTGTATCCCAGCCCCAAAAACCGTAGACCTGAGTTACAGAGAAGGCTGTAGTTCATTCAGAAAATACGTGAATTCAACTAGATTATTCTAAGGTACATTTCAGTTCCAAGGTTCTATGACTTATATAATTGGGTGACTTTTAAGGCAACATTTAAACAAGGCAAATCATCCTCCTCTTAAATTAAAAAAAAAAAAAAAAAGTGATCAAAACTGGTCAGAGAGATAATTTATTAACTATTTCAACAAAAACAAAACAAAAATGTTCTTACTATTTTTCCACCCACGGAACAGGTTTGGCTTTCTTGTTCTCTCCACCACTACTTCTGGCAGTGGCAGCTACTCCTCGATCCTTAGTCAATGGTGGTTTACTGCTGATAGATGTGCCTTTTAGAAATGCCTGCATGGTTACTTCACCCTGACCAGGTGCAAGACAGAAAAGGAAAAGCTCTTTTGAAACCATCATGAGGAAGTACAGCCTGAAAGCACACTTAACCTTGTGCAAAGACATTCAAAAAGTATTAAATGAAGGACATCACCCCATGACCTAGCATCCTTTGAATGCATTCTACTGAGGACTACAGGGACATAAAAGAGGCCAAAGTGCTGAAGGAACTTAAAATCTACTTATAGGGGCTTCCCTGATGGCACACTGGGTAAGACTCAGAGCTCCCAATGCAGGGGGCCCGGGTTTGAACCCTGGTCGGGGAATTCGATCCCACATGCATGCCACAAGCTAAAGATCCTGTGTGCTGCAACGCAGATCCTGTGTGCCGCAACTAAGACCCGGCACAGCCAAAATCTATAAATAAATATGTTTTAAAAATCTACTTATAGTGAGGGACTTAGAGAACAAAGTTTTATAACTTTAACAAACTTTTTGATAAATATGATGGCATTAATGGCCAAACTGTACATGGGTCTCAACAGTCTTTTCAGTCATGGGCCTAACTCTAGCTCAGACCCTGAAAGGGACTCAGCAATTAGGAGGAGTACTGGGACCAAAAATGAGAACCTCCACTTCTCTTGGGCCTAAAGCGCCACTGGAGAGCCTATTTTATGGGCAGAGCCCGTGCCTGCCTTCAGACAGAAGCTTTTGTGGGGAGGGGAAGGCGGGGTGGGGGGGGGAGGCGAGACACTGTTGTTAAAATGGAAACAGCTGTTTTTCTCATAGCATGCTCATTTGAAGAAACCAAAACAATTTGGAAAAGCATGAGGAGTTTTAAAAATTCAAAATCTCACCCAGAAGATAAGCACTATTAACATTCAGGTAAACGTTCTCCAGGCAGCAAAAGGCTGTTTTTAGGGATAGTTTGTCTGAAAATCCCCAGCATTAATGGCAATTCTATTTTTTTCACTGCTGTGTCTCCAGTGCCTGGTACAGGATAGATGCTCCATAAGATTTGGTGACTGAATTACCACTTATCAGACTCAGTTTCGCCTTCTGTAAAAGAAGCTAAGGCCCATTTCATAAGGCAAGTGGGTCAAATAAAAGAATCGTACAAACACACAGCTCTGTGCTTGGCATATGGGTATAATCAATAAATAAAATAAATTGTTAACATCTGTAAACAACTAAGGTTTTTAACGTTATTGGATTACTCAATCCCTGCCACAGGCTGCCAAACAGTAATACCGCCCAAAGCAGGGCTCTGAAGGATGATGGATTGAGCCACCCGTAGACCAAGCAGTGCGCAAGAGGTGGAAGACATCACAGGGGCATCGAGGACACAAGAGTAGAGGAAAGCGAAGGCAGTCCTCGCAATTTCTCCGGCTGGTCACCTGTTCTCCCCGGCTCCCCGCGTGTGTCCCCGGGCACTGCCTGGGCCTTTTAGCCGCTCGTCTTGAGAGTTGGGACGCCACCGGCTCGTTCCTGAGGTTTCTGCGGCAGGGAAAGGGCGAGGTGGTCGCGAAGTCTTAGCCCCGTTCCCCAAGGGGAGGCTCTCAGGCCCAAGAAGCCCCGAGCCGCCAGAATGGGGGGGGAACCCTTACGGTAGCCGCGGTCAGCAAGCAGCCCGAGTTCCCGCCACCGAACAGCGGCGAAAGGCAGGGCGGGAACACGCCGCACGTCAAGCGTCACTTCCGGTCCGCTGCGCGCGCCCCGCCTTAAGGGAGCCGTATCCTCCTAGTCTGTGGTGTTTAAGCTGATGAGACACGAGGACTGTAGGGGATGCTGGGGCTGGATGGGAATGAGTCCGGAAGTGTAAATAAAGCTCCATCCTGTCCCGACGTAGCCCTCCGACTAGAGGCTGCGGGGCAAGGGAACTTGAGAGCAGCCGTCTGTAGGAGAGGCTGGGGCCGAGGACCCGCGTGCTCAGCGGACGGGGGCGGGAAGGGCTCCGCGAGCCCTGACCCGCTAGGGCGGTTGAGGAGGGGCTTGTGGGCCTCGAATCGCGGAGGTCCACTCTCTTTTGTAGGTACGAGCCTGCAGAACCTGTAATTCATTGGCAGTCATGGGCATGTCACTGGCGTTTCTGCGGCGACACAATTCGGCCTGCAACCTGCTTCACCCCAAAGAAGGGCGGGGATTGGGGAGGGTGGAGTCTATCCTTCGCCAGAAGAGGGCGCCATGAAGATCCCCGTCCTCTCCCTCCGGCTTGGTCGTCGCGGAGCAAACCGTTTGTGCTTTAAGGGCGGAGACGTCGGAAGAAGATGCCTTTCCTTGCCCTTTTGGGTGCATGTGGCTTATATCTCTATTAGTGCCTGCCCGTTGGTGAGAGGGAGGGCCTTGCCGCGCAGTTATGGTCAGCTAATCCCAGGGCTCTGCCCAGAAATCTGATGGTGTAGACGCTCAATAAAAATTACAAGATTGATAATGTTAATGCCACCAGGGTACATGCAATGTGTGCTCTAGGCAAGTGTTTGAGGCCACCCTTCTAATCTTTACCCACTGCTTGTCTTAGCTCTGGAGTTTTCCTAAATGTTATTGAAATCTGAGCTTTTTGAAATGCTGCCTTCGCTGCAGACCTTTACTAATTATCCTAACCCACAGGGTTGATCTGGGTCTTCTCCGGGTCAATGACTTTTATTTGGCACATACTTATCATGATACTCATTGTTAACTTTACATGTTCATTTGTCTTTCAACAAATGCTTATGGAGTGCCCATACCTACACTGCGAGGTGCTGGGGATACGGCAGAGAACAAGCTGGAAGGTCTGGCCCTCAGGAGAGTGGCAGTGTGATTTGTTATGCAGAGGAAGTAGGGGCTCTGAATATATACATCCCAGGCCTAACCTAATCCAGGGGTTAACCAGATTAAGGGTGCTTTGTTTTACCTTGTAACTCCCACAGGCAGGGCCTGGTACAATCTCTGGACAGTATAAAAAGCACACAGTTTACCTATCTGGTCACTGGTTTACATTCTCAAAACTCATCACAATGTACATTTAATGTTTGTACATTTTATGTAAATTATACCTAAATAAGGTTGATAAAACAAAGATCTGTGAAGGTAGGTGGCATTCATTTGCTACCTGAACACCACAACCACACAGAGGGAGATATAATCCCATTTTACAAAGGAGACTCAGCCTTAGATGGATAAGGTTAACAGCAAGTAAGCAGCAAAGCCAGAATCCACATCTAGGACTGTCTGGCTCTGGAGTTAAGGCTTGTAATTAGTCAGGAGGCAGCCTTCTGGTAATGAGACCAACAGTTGCAAAATCCCAGATGTTTTAGGGAAAAGCAATTATAAGAACTTTAGAGTTGGATGGCCACTGGGGGAGGCGGGGCTCGTTAATTTATTAAATGAAAGACTGACAGTGATTAATTGCCAATTTCAGCCCAAGTGTGAAAACCAGAGGATCTATTTGACAGCTTATAAAATGATTCACATATCCTGCAGCCAGAGGGCAAAAAAATCTGGGGCCGGACCAAAAAACTAAATTTTAGGAGTATCAGAGTTCCAGAGAAGTTTAAATTCTCAGCCTCACCAAGTCTGCCACACTAAGGTCAAGGCCTTGACTGGGAGAAAAATGGGATGCTGATACCTGAAGTGAAGTCACCTGGGTTGATGTATCTGAAAATCTTAAATTTCCCTATTTCCCCGAATGTTTTTGATCTATAGAAGTAGCTCATTCTTCCCTGTTAGAGGCTGATGCTAGTCTCTTGGGGATGTATGTATATGCTTGATGATGTAGAGGCTTCTGCCTTGTACACGTCTGCCCTTACCCCCAACCATCTATTCCACTTTCCACTCGCAACCACCAGAATGATAGCCAGGATTAAGTCACAATATAGCCCACCTGGGGAAATGCTGTGATGGCTCAAGGCAGAAGAAGAACTGCAGGACTGCAGTGTGAACTGGCAAAGCAGGAGAGCATATATGGGACTGCACTGGATGAAGAGGAACAGAATACACAGTTGGAAAAGGGAGATAAACCTACAACACAGGATTTAGTAGCTTGGCAAAGACCCCAGGTAATAGTATTTGGTTGGCCCTTGGAAGCTTGGAAAAAGAAATAGCCCACACTAAATAGGTAGAAATGCCAGAACTACAGTGGTAAACACTGGCGGAAGAAGTCAAGACACAGAAGTAGGATATACTATGTAAGGCCAAAAAACCACTAGCCAACTCAGTTCTTGGGATACAGTGTTCTTGTCCAAAGCGATAAGGATCGTGCTGATGAGGAGGCCTCCAGCTCAGTGGTGGGCTGTCCTCTGTAGGCCCAAGGCTGCTGGTAGCAGATGCTGGGACAGAGCAGGATTTTCTGAGAGCAATGGAGACAACAGACTTCCAAAATTAACAGAGGCTAGATGGCAATGCTTAACTCTCAAAAACAAGATAGGTGCAATTGTCATCACGAGTGGCGAGGTCAGAAGCAGTCAGGGAGGTCTGACTCACAAAGAGCTCGGGAGGTGGTTGATACAGCACCACATCCCAAGGGACATGACAGATGGGCAGCAAATGAGACTGTTGCTCAGTCTATACAACCAAAGCAAGGAGGCTGAACGCAGCCACGATAATAAAAAGTCATGATCACTTTCTAAGTTTCCAGACCTGAGCCAGTTCTCTGACCCAAATTCCATTGACTGACTGAGAAACTAGGTCCTTATGAATCATGGCATGCATGTAACTGAGCAGGACCGTATGAGGCCTCCCCAGAATAGACCCCCACTCGTGTCCTCTGCCTGCATTTTGCCTGCAGAAAAACTTTAAAGAATAAATTTAATCAGAGAAGTGAGGAAATGCAGAAAGGAAAACAGTCAAGCAAGACAAAATAATAATACTTTAGCCGTTAAACAAAGTCAAGGACCGTTAGTTCTTCCTTAAGGACTATAGATAATATTCTGAGCCGTGTCCTTTGAGCTGTTTTGCAGACACTGAAACCCCTATCAGGTGGAAGAAGTTAACTGTATGCTGCCCACAAGCATGTAGACCCCAGACGGGTTGCAAAGAGAAGGTTGATG